CAATGTTTATTTGAAAATTTGATTTGGATTGTTCACACGTGCGAGAGTGGAACCAAGCTGTTCGATCTTCCTGGCTTGCAAATTGTCAGTGTAGGCTTCTTGCGTGGAGCCCATGCGTGATGTGGCCGCCACGCAGCATACAGTGGTTTATTGCGCTGCTGATTGGGCATCCACGTTGCCCATTTTTCTCTTTTTTGCGATTGGAACCATGTTCTCAAATTTCTCTTTCAAATATACCCTTCTTTATTTACAGTTTGACAATAACTTCTGAAATTTATTTTCAAATATGTTCAAAATATATATTCTAAAAAAATTAAAAAAATAATTAAAATTAAAACTCTCAAATACGAGCCTAATTTTCGGACTCGGGATGTTACAAAATTAATGATAATCAAATAATAACATACAAAAATTAAAAATTCAAAGACAAAAATTAAGTATAATATATTTTTAAGTAATCAAGGTACTGTAATTTTGCCCTTAAAGGAACTTCTTTTAATGGAAAAAAGTTATCGACAAAATAATACCATATTTAGTCATCTTACAGCCTCTCTATATATAAGTGTGTATATATATATATATATATTTATATATTGGTGAAAATTTTAAAAATAAATAATTTTGTCAAAATAAAATAAAATAAAAAAGAGAAAGAGGGTGTGGCAAATGCAAATCCCATAAACTGCGGAAGGTGGCTGCTTACTTGAACATTACCATCACCAATATTTTTCCATCACATCAATTTTCTCAGGCCACCAACTTTCTTGCTGGCCAAACAAAACCGCGTACCCTCCATGACTTTTTATTTTTTATTTTTAACTAGCTACTTAATAAATTAATTCTCATTAATAACTTTGTTTAAAAGAATATTATCAAGAAGTAATTAAGAAAAAATAGATGAAAATTAGATAATTAACTAGCTAGCTTTATTATTAAATGCATGTACGTCGCGTGTATCAAACACATATATATAATAATTAATCTATAGCATAATCAAATTTGCTAATTTCAAATTTAATAAAATGAAAGGACTTCATTATTAAACACCTGAATTCGTGTGTATACGCGTGTGTATATATTTATATACATATATATATGTATGGGTATGATTAGACCATGACATCTCTGTCTTTTCTTTATTTTCTTCTCTGAATAAGTTCTTCATTGATATCTATTTTCTTTTACTATAACTTAATACAAGTTATAACATTTTCAATTCTTGTATGGATCATGATAACAAATTTTTACTGTAAAATTTGGATAATCATAATATTTACTTATGGGTATGATGAATTATATATCAAAGTTAAATCCACAGATATAATAAACTTCTTTGATTTAAATAGTTGTATAGCTAAAACTACATTTCAAATTCTTATATTATGACATATGCACTAAATTAAATAACAAATGAAGCTAGCTAATACCCACTTCTATTAAGGTTGGTGTTAAATCCAATTGAATAATGATGATGTGAAGTTTTTTTTCTGGAGTATAAACTAAGATATTGACTATGACTGAAAAATTATAAATTAATAATTAGATGTTATGAAGTTCAAACTAGACCTAAAATCTATTGCTCCTTTGATTTTTGTTATAGGATTATGAGTAATAAGAAGCCCTCCAACTATTTGTGATTTGTAATCAACTACATACCTTAATGATTAATTTATAGTTAAATTTAAGTGATGATTTTTTGAAAATATGGAAAATAAGTCAAGAATTTGAGCGAGTCAATAATTAAAACTGATTTTCCTACATGAAAGAAATTGAGAGATAATATGAATTTGTTTTTAGATAATATGAAATGATTTGGAGAATGAAATGAAAATATTATTATATGTGTATATAATATATATATATATATATTTAAAAAAAAGAATAGATAGGATTTTACTTAAATCTTAATTAAACAATATAAAACTATATATTTAAATAAATGATATTATTCATGATTTTTTTAGTAAAAGTTCGCTATATTCATGAATTAAGATCAATTTATAAGTATTAATTATCATATAACAAAATACAATATATAAATAAGAAAAAAGAGGATATAATCCAATTCCAACTATAAATTCTTGTTAAAAAAAAAAGATGTCACAATCATTGAAATAAATAATAATTGAC